ACACTGATTTCCACCACACACCCCACACAACCACACACACACTCACACCACACACAACCAACCCACCACAACACCACCCACACACACCACACACACACACCAACACACATACATAACACAACCCACCATAACCAACCCACCACACAACACACACACCACACACACCACACCATCATCATATCCATATATATCATATATATTACTATATAATCATATATATATACTGTATATATCGTACTATATTACTATACTATATGTACCTATACTGCTACTAACTACTACTATATATATATATAATACTTACCTACTCACTATCACTACTACCTATATCATAGGACACACCACACCACATACACACCCATCCAGAAAGACCGACGAGAAATAGACCGACGAGCACAGCACGAAGAAAGAGGAGACTGAGACAAGTATTGTGAAGAACTAAATAATGAAGCGTTTACTCTAACTTTCCTATCTCTATATTTCTTTCAAGATTTTAATCTTAGCGTCAGCTGCAGTTACGTCAGCAGACCTCCGTGGTTACAGTCTTCCCACCCCAACTGGGCCATCCGTTCACTTGGGCGGCTGTAGTGGTGGGCAGGTACGCCATGCGGATGGTAGATGCGTCACTCCACGAGAAAATCGACGCGTGTTTCTTTATGAAGTCCCTCCTAACACGGTTTTCTCTAGTGCTCCAACAAACATCCCTGAGCCAACAGTGGATACAAATATCCTACTCCTTCGAACTCCACACGGATTCCTCGGACCAGATCCCGTTGTCGTACCTCCTCCGCGGCAGCAGCATGTTGTGTATGTCCTCAACAAACAATCAGAACACGGTCAGAGGGTAATCGAGGTCACGGCCCCACCGCCTGCCGAACCCGAGGTATATTTTGTGAACTACGCTGAAGGAGAGAACCCAACCCTACCCAGCGGAGTAGATCTTCAGAGTGCATTGGGAGCAGCTACTCAGGGAGATGGCCAAACAATCGGTGACAGCGGCGATGGTGGTGTTGTCAGTGGTGGGATTGGAAGTGGCGACACTGGTGGCACAAATGTGGACGGAGGTGGAGACTTCGGAGGCAGTACCGGATTCGGTGGAAATAGTGCTTTCGGAACGAGCAGTGGAATTGGCGGAGTTTTTAGTGGAGGAAGCCCAGGTCATGGAAGCATCGGTGGAACCTACACTCCTCCGTTCCCGCCCACGAACCTGTACACTGCACCGTAAAATCTGTTTACGAATTGCGACCACAATTTGAATATGAAATCTGAAAAACTCAATCCCTCAGTTGGTGCTTTTGTAAAGATTTCAGTTTTATAACGGTTATCCCTGAAATGCCGGACGCTTCCGATAGATCCTTTAATGTATAACCGTTATCCAAAATTGTTATTTTGTTGTTGTTTTTAAAGATTTTTACAATCATTACCTTTAGATTAGACATTGTTGAAATATCGTTTCACATTCAATAAAAAAAGAAAAGTAATTTCTTGTAAAATAACTAAAACGTCCTTCAATGTTTCAAGTTTTATTTTCATTCTTTGTATGCATAAATTTCGAATAAAACAGTTACACTATATTAAATGACTCTTCCCATTCCCTTACTCATCTCCCAACGATACAAACTTATGCAACTGGAACTTGTTATGATGGAAATGAAATTTAAGAGAAGTCTGGGATTTCAGTATCATTAGGTGTAAGCATTTCAAAGGACGTAACGGTATAAATATTGAATGATCTGTTCTTTTTTAGTGCTAACAGTAAGCTTCTCGAATTACCATCATCATGCTAGTGCGATAACTTGATAACAAAAAACAAACTAGCCAGATAAGAGAAGGGATGTGTATAGCAGTATCAAAAGAGAAAAGATGGTTAATTATTAAAATTGCCTCTCATAAATATCATAGTTATCTATATACTCGAAATGTGTAAACAAATTCAGAAAGCATTTTCTTTGTGTGAACGAATACCATATCAGTGGGTATTTTTTAAACTGAGTATAATGCTTAGGCAGTATATATCGACAGTGACTAAAGATGCATCAGTTTATAATCAGTGGAAACGCGTCTAAATGCACTGTTAGAATCTTGTAGGAATGAAATTACTGTCCTGTGTCGCAGTTTCGTTTGGAAGTGTTTATAGTGGTATGCTATGCGGTTAGACAACGTTCGAGTTAATAACCGTTTATGCAGTTTGATATTATAATCGTACGATTCGATATTATTATGATTTAAATATGTTATATCATTCTGCACTATCTTACTCACTAACTTCATAAACTAGTATATCAACATTTAACAGTGTGGTGTAATTATGCTCTATGTGTTTTCTGTTTTGGTTGAAGTCGGTGCGATTATGTAAAAAACCAGACCACTCACGGTTAAAGAAATTCAATACAAACACGATACATCACACCTACATCTCGCTCTCCATTTATGCGCAAGACTTGGGAGAACACCGCTGTGTGCTTTTAGTATGCGTGAATACTGTCGACAGGTCACAAAA